GGTGACAAAGGCAATTATCATATTTATTATCTTGTCTCATCACTTGCATGATCATGATAGTAACAATGAATATTGTCATCATTATTATAATCCTCCCCGTCATCATGATTATAATCAGCATTCTTGGCATCCTCTCCCTCATCATCATTATCATTATTGCTAGTGTTGCTATTATTGTCACGTGACTAAATATAGATTGATATCGATGATAATAATCTGACTATTACTAACAGGGCATAAGGCACTAATAGTAAGATAATGGTAAAAATCATGATACCAATGATAATAATGAATGCTATTCTATAGAGATTTCATTTAATATCATTTGATGTTTTACCAGTATTAGTTGTATCATTCTGATATCACTGACATCCTCATTGTTAGTAAGAATTGATTATTAATATTATGATTTTGTCCTTTCCTGATCCATTTTTCGACGCCGATATCAGCAGTTTATGCATTATATACATCTTATATTACTACGTACGAAAAATCGTACATTTACTATCATATCGTGTACATCATCAGGTTTGTGTGTGTGTGTGTATTGCAGATACAAACACCTATGGCAGAAAGAAAAGAGTGGATCAATATATGTAGTATACATAAATGGGTACCTATATTAGTCTATGTACCTCTGTCTGTCTGCCTGTCTCTCTCTCTCTTCCCCTCTCCCTATCTGTCTATTGATCTATATCTATGCATATGCAGGTATAGATAGCACAAGTGCTTGGGAAAACATGGGCACATGAACATTTACAGCACTAGAGAGACAATTGTGTTTTGAGTATCTTATGTAACCTCAGTACTGTACTCGGGAATAGTGTAGATATTTCAGACATATATTTCTCTCTTCATTTTATTCGAAACGTTTTGTAATACATAATACTGTACATCAAAATTGTCATAAATAATATAACATGGAAGGATATTCCTGCATCGTTACTATGACCCGTTACTGTGGGAAGCCATAGGAGTTAGAGGGGCGTGAGGAGCGGGAAGGGACGGGGGCGCTGTATCCCTGAGAAGATCCTTGGCGGGAACGAGCAGCATCCTCCTGACGGGCGCGCTCGATCTGCTCAAGGGCGTGGGCGGGGATGGGGTGAGGGAAGGCTGGGGCCACGGGCAGGAAGGCTGACTGAGGCTGGAAGCCGTTCTCGTCAGCTACGAAGCGAAGCTCAAACTGTTGTCCGTCAGGAAGGGTAAAGCTGGAAAATATGAATGTGTCAGTTTGTCTCACTAACAACCTTGTAATAAATTAGATTCATACATGATACACACACACACACACAGACACACACACACACACACACACACACACACACACACACACACACACACACACACACATATATATATATATATATATAATATATATTATATATATATATATATATATATATATATATATATATATATATATATATATATATATATATATATATATATATATATATATATATATATATATATATAATATATATATATATGTGTGTGTGTGTGTATGTGTATATAGTATATATATATATATATATATATATATATATATATATATATATATATATATTATATATATATATATTATATATAATATATATATATATATATATATATATTATATATATATATATATATATATATATATATATATATAAATGGTATCAAAGTTCAAAGTGCGTTACAAACAAATGACATAATGACAATGACAATCACCAATATTTGTCAAAAGACTGTTGCAATGGCAAGCAGGGACACTTACGAGTAAGATCCGGACATGGCCGTGACGGGACCCTCCTTGGTGGGAATAGGCGATCCACTTTCCTGGCGTGAGATGCCGTCACCGGTCTCAACATTGAAGCTGTAAGCGCCGGCGGCGTCGGGGTGGACGCGGTCGTCCACAAGGATGGGCACTATTGGTCCGGGAGCAGATCTTGGGGCGGAGTAAGTTGGCTGGGGAGCAGGTCTTGGGGCGGAAAAGGAAGGGCGAGATGCAGGTCGCGACCTGTGGCTAAAGGCTGAAGAAGGCTGAGAGGCATAGCCGAAGTGACTGGGCAGCTTGTCAGCCAAGCAGACTGATACAGCTGCAGCGATGACAATCTGAAAGAAATGCAAGGCAATTACTATCGAATAAACTTTTATTCTTAGATAACAAAGTCCTCCGTAAAATCCGCTGAAATACACCTGAGACTTACAAACTTCATGGTGGAAGGTGTGGCGGGTCGGATGGCTCAGCGGGTGAGTGAAGTTGGTCACTCGGGCCTTGCTTTATATACCACGTGGAGGTGCCAGGGTCAAGGCAGCACTGTTACTGCCATCCACACAAAGAGGTGGCGGTGTTTCCTTAGCCTGTCAGGTTAATCCATATGTCAATGAATTTTTCATTTACATAGCTGTTACTCATATTAGTCCATGGCGCTATGGTAGATGCCATAGTGCGGCTTATAGATTTGATACAGTACACATACATCGTACATACATGCATACATACATATATATAAAT